GGGCAGAGCAACGGGAATTCGCATCCCTGAGAATCCCACATCCCTCCACTAATGTTAGGCAAGTTTGTGTCTCTCTCTGCTGTCTCACTCAGGGTACAATCGATTAGTCATTCTGGTAAACCACACGAGGGTGAGCTTTGACAACCCAGAGAAAGGGGAAAGTGATGAATTCATGCTGCCTGTGTCACTTCTGTTCTGTTGCCTCATCTCACAGTGCGGCACTACCTTGAACTACGCTGCAGCAGCCTCAAGTTCTGCCTGTTCTGCCTGAGGGCTTTATCCTTTATTTTATTTTTTGTTTCCTGTTATCGCGTCAGCTTCTGTGCAGGCATTATGTGCACAGCAGAGCCTCCTTTTTGGAAACAGCATTTTGACAGTTCGTTGTTGAAACAGACCTGGTGTTCTTCTCACATGTGAGCTGATTGCCACATGTACAGCATGTGTTTGAGCAGGCAGGTCAATGGTTTGGAACTGAGCTTTCCAAAAACATTACACAAGCCTTATGAATATGGCATACTAAAGTATATGTGGAAACCTTGGGAAATGCTCAAACTATGTCAATAATAAGTTTCCCATACTAATCAGTACTGTCACAAGCAGCAGGAATGGGTAATTTTCACACTGCATACTGGCCACCTTGTCTTCTGTCAAGGTGCAGTTCTCATGTTGAAACCAGGGGTATTTCAAAAAGGTTCCTAAGCTACAATTATTCCACAGAGTCTAAAGAACTACTCCATTAAACATTTTGTGCTTCTAATGTTAAGGCACCTGACTATTTTTGTAGATGTGATGACCACAAAAGTCATAGAAGCTTCTCTTTATTTGTAAACATAAAACAGAGCATCTTGGATTCATTTCCCAGTGAATCTGTAAATCAGGTGCTTAATGTGGTCACCGTGGAGTTTAAAACAAAAGTTTAGGAGGGAAGACAACAGTTAAATTCAATGCAACTCAGCTATTAGTAATTCATAATCACTCCTGTTGTTATTTCCTCACTTAAAATATCATAAATACTATACGTGATCCCCTTCTCTCCCTCACATACTGTACATCTTCTGCATCCAACCTCCACCCCGCCTCCCCCTCTGCAGCTGCCCCTTGGTCACTCCTCACTCCACAGGGCAGCCCCAGCCTCCTCGTCCTCTGGCCAGGAGCTCAGCCCTCAGCTAAGCAGGTTAAGCCAAATTTACTGTAACAAAAACACTCCATAAACCTTCCAATATGCTTAATTCCTGGGTTTTATTCCTAGTGATTCAACTACAATGCACGTCAGATAAAAATAACATCTAAATTCATGAAGAAGCAAAGCTACAACAGGACTCAGCAACACTCCAGAATCCCGTATCAATGGTACCTGAGACCAGAATAGAGAAGCCTATAGGACTGAATCAGAGCTTCCAAGTTAGGTTTATAAACAGAATACTGTAAACTTTAAAAACAATGCCCGCCAATGATTTAAAAGGGTTTATTTTATGCCTTTTCTGTATTTTCGAAGTCCCAATTGAAATGAAGCTAAGATAAGATTACTAGAACTGGGAACTGCTAGGAAAGTTACTTAATAAGCAGAATATAAAGTTCAGCTTTAATTAGGTCCTACACTGGGGGAAGCCCTGAAGAGAACATTTATTAGGGGGAGTGCACTGCCAGTACTAACCGGGACAAAGCCTGATGTGTTACAGCAAGAGCTAACTGCAAATGAACGGCAGAGATGGAGAAACAATGAAAGGAAGAGATGGCAGAGATATCAAGGCAGAAAGAGAGCGTAGGATGAAGAACTGTTCCCAAGTTCAATAGATAGGCTGCACACAAAAGGGCCATCCCGCCTTGGCAAATCACTGCCTTCTGGAACTGCTTCAGAATCACCTTCACATAAGGAGGAATGTCTGCCTTATTTCCCATCTGCAGCTCTGTAATGGCCATGACATAGATCCCGTTATGAGCCGTAGTGATTGTCTCGACCAATCAAAATAGTGAAAAACAATTAATCTATTTTTCAAATAATTGGCAATGGGCAACTGCTAATCTAAGCAGCTCACTGTTCCAGCGTGAGCTGCTTAGATTTGAGCATGGCCTTCAGCCCAGTATGGAGTTCTTGGAAGGCAGACCACAGCCAGTTCAGAGAGCAGGCCAATATACAGCAGGTTGCTATACTTTGAATATTTTAGAGCACAATAACATTAGATAGGAAACCTTACAAATGAGACCTTTGGGCTCATCTAGCTCAGATGTTTTTTTTTTAATCAAAAGCACTACTAGTATGCTATTTCTGTGCCTACACATCTGGAGATAGATTATCTTTACGTATTAAAAAAATCTGCAACAGTATTACATGTCAAGCAAAGAAGGAAAAGCCAAGCTTACAGCAGCCAGAAATTGCCATTCTGAGCTGGTTTTCCGCACTCCTGACACTGGATACTGTCTTTCAGACACACTCTGACTGCACTGGGAGGCTCCGTGTTGCCCCCCCCAGGCCCGGGAGTGCTGAGGGAGGGGGCACGTGCGCACGAGGAGAGGTTAGAGTTGGTGTTGGATTTTTTTAATGTGCCAATTAAAGTATTATTAATTTAAAAAAACTCCCGTTTGTTGTGGTCCCTAGCTATCCCCATATAAAAAGCTCATATGAAGAATGTCCAACATGTTGGTGAAAGATTTGTCCCTGCTGTAATGTACCCACACTGTCCTGAGTTATCTCTTCTCCTTCTCACTATTTTATTTCGTGAAACTGTTCTTTTTATTTCTTATTTTCTTATTTATAGGTGTGTCCTCATAAATTGTTTCTTTGCTGGTCATTTCCCAAATCGTTTTTGGCAGGAGTTCTGCTGATTAAGGAAAATAACATTGTACAAACTCCTGGGCCAAGCGAATTGAAACAAAAGGACGGTTAGGAAAGAGAGAAGGCTGTTTCACCCATCTTATAGAGAGTATAAGATGGGTGAAACAGCTGCCACCTGTAGGAACACCAACAGGAGCAACACGACTAGCTGCCCAGACTTAAAAACTATAAAAAAATTTGCATCTTCCTCTTACCTCTTCAAAGCAGTGGACAGATAGAGGACTTGTGAAGAGATTCTTAAATAGAATCAATAGCCTAAAATACGGTACATATTGCCAGACAGGAAACAAGCATGTACTGTAACTGAATACAAAAATTAGAAAATACACTTCTCTCTTGCTCGAGAATTTCTTGGAAGAATTAGAAACCTGTCTGACCAAAATTATTTCTAGTACAACACAAGAAATCTTGCAATGGTTGCAAAAAGAAAGTTTAAAGCCTTTAAAGTCTTTAAAGCCTTTTCTATTAATACATCAACCCTCCTTAACCTTTTAAAATATTTGTAATACTAAAAAAAATAACAATATAAAATACATGCTTAGGTCTTTTATATATTTGGGTATTTATAGACAGTAACAACATAAAACAATCAAAGATTAAGAATGATGTCAGAAACAGTTAGATCACAATACTCGTTTTGCTTATGAATGCTACTTACAGTACGACTCCTGACCTAGAGTGTTCCAGCATTTAAAAATGCTGTATTCAGATTGTACGCTACAGAAGCAACAGTTTCCCTTTCAAAACTCCGCAGGGCTCAAAGATATCAAGAATGTCAGCCCTCTGGATTGAGCTGCACCTTTGAGCCATAAAGGATCTTCTAAGAAGACTAAACAGGAAGTCATATAAACATTTGCTTACTTGCTTTCTTGTTTCTCTCTCATCCTTTCAGCTGTGTCATTAAAGTACAGTACTTCCCTGTCATCACACTTGTACCTCATTCTCACTCGACACGCAAGCACCTACTGCAATTTCAGAACTAGCTAGTGAGTCAATCAGCCACCTGCTGTACAACACACATTGAATATTGCTTGTAAGCCAACAGCTGGCAAACTCTGCAAGCTGTGTTTTTGAACAAACTGCTGATGGAAAGTGCACCCAGGCCGTGAGAGATGAAGTCTTTCCAAATAACAGTCACGGTCAAAATCAAAAACCTTCAACGCAGCAAGTTAACTGCTCCTTGTCCCCTGCAGCGATGCCCTGCAGTACAGCCTCATGATCAAGGGTACGCTGTGCTTTGAGATGGTCGGTTTAAAGGAAAGTGCTTCATCATGTGAATGGTGTAAAAGAGACAGATAAAAGTGAGATTCCTCTACACATTAGATCCAAGCCCATGTAAAATCAAAACTCTGACCCACATGCTGGGCACCAATTCCAGACTCTGTTGCTGGACAGTAGGTTACTGGATGTCCTGGGCTTCTGCCACTGAGTGTCAGGTTTGCAATGTTCAGTTGGCCGCAGGTGGAAGCTCCAGTTTAATCCTGGCTTGAGCACTTGTTCGAGGAAATGAACTTAATTAGTGGTCAGGTCAGGACCTGTTACCTTGCCAGTGCTGGTTTTGCTCAGACATGTGTCCACTTGTGTACAGAGATGTCAGCAGGGAACAGGAATCAAATAAGGTTTGTTGCTCTGTCTTGGCTGATAACAGCACATCTCTCTGGACAGGCACGATTTCCAGGTAAGTCTGCACCAATGAAGAGTGCTGAAACGCACACACAGGCTCACACAGGGGCCCAGACAGACAGGGGT